CCTGTGTGAACGACTTCCACATCACAGCAGACAATTACGCACAGGTTCGCAGCTGCTATCACACTATGTACTGGAGAGCTGTGTGGTGATCTCAGTTACAGGAGAAGTGCCTTATCGACCATCCTGTGCAGTGTGGGTCGCCATTCTCGTTTCTGTTCTTCATCTCATACACGTGCATCATCACCTTTGTCGTGCTCAATTTGGTCATAGCAGTCATCTTAGAAGGCTTTGAGGACTCCACCAAATCGGATGAAAAGGTAGCGAGTTCAATTCCTAGCGTCGACATTTTTAAGGATTATCAGAATGTCGTGAACAAGTGTATCGATGTGTGGAAGCAATTCGATCCTCACTACGACATGGAGCTGCCGATTGACTCAGCGGTCCGGCCCACAGAGGTATACTCCGGTTTAATGTGGTTTCAATGCTCAGATAGTTTTTATGGAGACTGTGAATTCTGAGCTGATGCGCGACAACCCTGTACTGCGGAAGAAAATGATGAGGTTTCGTCTCGAACGTGGAGGAGGCACTCTGTACCGGTCGATCCCACTGAAGCAAGCGGCGTTCATTCGGATGCAGATAGACTCCAAGGGGAAGGTGATGCAGCTGTGGTGACAGTCGATGGTGATGGGAAAGTGGTCGGTCAGGTCCACTTCCTCAATGCGGTATCCTCAGCACTCCGTATGATAACGGTGCGAGATGATTCCTCTCTCATGGAAGAAGTAAGCTCGTACTCTATGACGCTTGCACACACATAGTCGTGTTGAAGGGGATCCTGCATATGGGCTGCTGTCCTCTATTCAGATCGTATCATTGGAGACAGGGAAGCATGTCTCTAGGGAAACACGGCGCATTGCTAAAGTCCGCAGAACAGTGATGTCCCAGGCTAATGTGGTGAGACACGGTTATAGCTGACGATACTTTTGGATGGTCTATGCCGTCCATGGCTCAGTTGGATTTCCAAGGATCCATCGCAGTGAAGGAGGCCCCGCCGCGGAAGAAATCATTTCTAGGAGGTTTTCTCAAGGGTGAGACATTTGTGCTTGGGATCGTCGACATAAGGTGGTATGGTGCTTCTTCAGAGCTCATGTCCCCTGAAGGCTCGGTGGATGAGCCGCCGCAGCTGACTGGTGAGTTATGAGATACTTGAGTGAAGGCGAGTGACTGGATCTGGCACGGTGTGTGGTTCAGGATCAGGAACACAAGAGAGTCAGGAAGTGCAGTGCAATGCAGAGCTGGTACAATATGTGGCCGCGGCAAGGATACAGCATGCAATGAGACAGTGAGAAGAAGGCTGCTACATAGTCGAGTTGCACTGAGCTGTCCAGATATCTGGAGGCTAAGCATGAACGAGATGAGGATAGCTCTCAAGGAGACTCCACTCCGCACGATGAGAATATCCCCGCTGCAGCTGGATGATGATGACGAGCCTATTAGTGTACATTATACCGTCATGTCATGTCGCTGCTGCTGTAAGATTTACCTCGATATGGATTTGTTTTGTTGGAAGTCGGGAAAGGAGTCTGAGCGAACTGGCAGAACGTCAAAATCCACCTCTCCGGCACATACGTTGATAGAATGCAATCAGCCAAAACATGGAGGTAATATTCCGAAAATACCGCCACGTTGTCGCACCGCAATCGCCAGACGCACAATATTAGAAGAACGTGCGAAGGTAGATGGAATCCACGTAAACACACGCAGCTCGCGCACAAAATGTGTAGCACAATACGAAAGGATACAGTGCCCAATTGGGAGAGGAAGAACGGCTCGATCCCGAGTGGAAGAGCGTGGTTCCATCGGGTGGTCGAACGTCAGAAGCGAAGTTCTGCGTGGTGTACCAAGCTGGTAGACCACATACCTGAGGAGTATGTGTGTCACATACGCAGAAAGGCACATGTGAAACACGTGACGCCTTCCTCCCCATTGAGTGTTCAGGAGTGGATTCAGGGGGGCTGATATGATACTGCCATACGTCGGAGCATGCTATTAGACCTGCCTCATGGTCAGTTGACATCTTCTCGCTATGCATATCGTCGTATTGGGCCTAGTGCTGACTCTGATGGACCGAGCGAGCGGCGACAGCGGCACAGTGAGGGGGACTCCAGCAATGTGTACTGAAAAGATCTCTGACGAAGCCGTAGCGTAAGTCAGATAGGTGCCTTCGTATCGGACCCATGGACCCATTCTTCATAGGTACATTACCTCCGAGAATGGTGGTAATATGACGCGTCGTAGTGTTACCATCACGAATGGCTCAGCAGCTACCTATCACGTTAAGTTGAACTCCGGTAGGTCCATTTGGGTCTCAGCATTGACTCATGCCTGTCCATTCTCAGCATCATTGAGCCAGAGACCAGTCGAGGGTTTCGGTGGGGCCTTTACAGCAGCATCGGGTGTCAATTATAAGAAGTTAAGTGACGAGGATAAACGCAAATTTATCGAGTTGTAAGCCGTCCATTTAAGCGTCATTCGCGGAGTTCATCATGCATCAATGTAGATACTTCAGTCAGA